CAAGGTGGGTGGATCACCTGAGGTCAGGAGTTCGAGACCAGCCTGGCCAACATGGTGAAACCTCGTCTGTACTAAAAATACAAAAACTAGCTGGGTCTGGTGCACACCTGTAATCCCAGCTACTTGGGAGGCTGAGGCAGGAGAATCACTTGAACCTGGGAGGCAGAGGTTGCAGTGAGCCAAGATCATGCTACTGCACTCCAGCCTGGGTGACAGAGTGAGACTCTGTCTAAAAAAAAAAAAGAAAAAAAGAACAGAAGAGGAAGAAGGGGCAGGGGTGGGAGGAAAAAGAGAGGGAGAAGGGGAAAGAGGAGAAAAAAGGGAAGAGAGAGAAGCAGGGAGGAAGGGGTGAAAGGAAGAGAGGGGAGGAGGGAGAAGGCGGAGAGGAAGAAGGCAGCCACCCTGGGAAGTGCTACACCTCATGAAGGACAGGAGCCAGGTGGGGCAAGTACTGGGGAGTAGAGGCCCTTATTCCCTGGCCCCCCACTATGCTCCAAATAAGTATTTAGAAAGCAAGGGCTTTGGGGCTGGGCACGGTGGCTCACGCCTATAATCCCAGCAGTTTGGGAGGCCGAGGCAGGTGGATCACCTGAGCTCAGGAGTTTTAGACCAGCCCGGCCAACATGGTGAAACCCTATCTCTACTAAAAACACAAAAAATTAGTCAAGTGTGGTGGCAGATGCCTGTAATCCCAGCTACTTGGGAGGCTGAGGCAGGAGAATTGCTTGAATCCGGGAAGCGGAGGTTGCAGTGAGCCGAGATTGCAACACTGCACTCCAGCCTGGGCAACAAGAGTGAAACTCTGCCTCAAACAAACAAACAGACAAAACCTCTACAACAATGATTGGTATTGTTAAATAATTGTTTTATCTTTTCTATTTTTATTTTTTAGCCAAACCATTGCAAAGTAAATTATAGATGCTTGACACTTTGCCCCTAAATATTCCAGCATGCATCTCCTCTGAATAAAGCTATTGTCTTACATAAATATAATATCATTATCCCATCTAACAAAATTAACAATAATTCCTATATGTCATCTAACACCCAGTTCATATCCAAATTTCTCTAATTGTCCCAAAATGTATTTCGTAGTTTCTCCTCTCTCCTTCTTTCCTTCTTTCTGCCTCCTTTCTTCTCTCCCTCACACCCTTTCTTTTTATTTTATTTATTTTTTTGAGACAGGGTCCCTCTCTGTCACCCAGGTGAGCGTGCAGTGGTATAATCTCAGCTCACTACAGCCTCGACCTCCCAGGCACAAGAGATCCTCCCAGCTCAACTTCCCAAGTAGCTGGGACCACAGGCTCATGCCACCATGCCTGGCTAGTTACTGTGTTTTTGTTGCTGTTGTTGTTGTAGAGACAGGGTTTTCCCATGTTGCACAAGCTGGTCTCAAACTCCTGGCCTCCAGCAATCCGTCCACCTTGGCCTCCCAAAGTGCTGGAATTATAAGCATGAGCTACCACACCTGGCGCCTCCCTTCCTTCTTTCTTTCCTTTATTCCCTCCTTTCTTTTATTTTTTTAACCAGGATCCGATCTAGGTTCATGCACTGCATATGGGTATTTCTTTTGAGTCTACATAGACCACTTGCATAGACCACTTTTTAATGACTTCAACTTTCTTAAGAGTCAAGTCGGCTGGGTTCAGTGTCTCACGCCTGTAATCCTAGCACTTTGGGAGGCCAAGGTGAGCAGATCACTTGAGGTCAGGAGTTCGAGACTAGCCTAGCCAACATGGTGAAACTCCGTCTCTACTAAAAATACAAAAATTAGCTGGGCATGGTGGCATGTGCCTATAATCCCAGCTACTTGGAAGGCTGAGGCTAGGGAACTGCTTGAACCCTGGAGGTGGAGGTTGCTGCCCTCCAGCCTGGGTGGCAGAGTGAGACTCCGTCTCAAAAAAAAAGAAAAGAAAAGAAAAAAAAGAGCAAAGTCAAGTCCATTGTCTTATACAATGTTCTCATTCTTAATTTAGTTATTTCCTTGTGATGTCACCTAATTTGTTCCTCTATCCTATTTATTTCCTGTAAACTGAGAGTTAGATCTAAAGGCTTGATTAGACCCAGGCTACATACTCTTGGCAAGAATCTATTATGAGTAATACCGTACACTTCACAAGCACCAGTTGCTCCACTTTTCCTTGGATGGATGGGATTGATGGATCGACGGGTGATTGTTAGACATCTTTATTGTAGAAGAATTAGTCCCCTTGTGATTTGCAAGTCAGTTGTGGCATGCTGGGCTGGCACCCTGCCGCATGAACCTAGGCAGGATTTTGACAGACCATTCCAGGCAGGGGTGAAAGCCTCACCAAGGTGGAAGGGACAGGACGTATTCAGGGGTGGGGAATGGCCCGATGCCATTGGCTCCAATGGAGGCTGCAGCTGGGCCCAACTGCAGAGAACTGTGAAGCGGGAGTGAAGAATGAGAATGCTGTTCACAGGCTGGAGAGAGCTGGGAAGGTCTTGGGCTGAGGGATAACCAGAGTAACGACGAGAAAAAAAAAATAAAAGGGTAGCACTGGATGCAGAAAGTTTCCTCTGGGGTGGGGTGGGGGTGGTGAGAATGGGGGTATCCTTGTCCTCACCTTCCACAAGCCCTCAGGTGGCCAAGACCCTGTGCCCCAGGGAGCAGGGAGCCTATGCTGTTCTCTGGGGACACGAGGGACTCCCCCAGCCCCGGAAGTAGCACAGAAACAGCTCTGGAGAGGAGGATGGGGAGATCAGGGCACTCCTGCAGGACCAGGGTTGGAGAAGGGATGGGCATGACCGGGGACCACCCCTGCCGCCACCTCCAGGGCCCCTGGGGCCCCGCCCCTCCCAGTTCTCCCAGCTTATCTTTTCTGGCCAGCAAGGAGGGTTGCCCATGGGTGCTTAGCATTTCCTCTGCCTGTGACCACGTTGGCTGTACCAGAAGGAAGGGGCCTGGGTCCCTGAAATGACCATGTGGAAGGTTGCCTAAGACTGAGAATGCCTGATTAGACTTCGTGTGAGAAGAAATAGCTTCTGTTGAGTTGAGCCACTGAGATTTGGAGGTGTTTGTTGCAGGACGTAGACTTTCCTGACTACTCCCTCCCTTTCTCCAGTGTCTGCCCGTGCGGCGGGAAGGTGAAGGCTGAGTAGTTGAGTGATTATGCTGCTGAAGGCTCGAGACGTGGGGACTGCTTTAATGGTTTATAAAATCCTCCTGACAGCGGGTCCCGAGGTGGGCTGGGAACTCTGGGACAAATGTCTGGGCTTCCCTGTCAGCACCTGTGCAGCCACCTCCCAGGCCCTTGTGTCCAGCCTAGACTCCCACCACTCACTGGGTGACCTTGGGCAAGTCACCACCTATTTCAACGTGAAGACTTCCCCAGTGGGATAGAGGGGATCAATGGTGTCCCTTGCCCCATCTCACAGGGACAGCAAATGCCAGGAAACCAAAGCAGACACTATTTTAAAGGATTTATTTTCCAGAAATCCTGAGGGGCAAGGGCAGGACAGGAGGGGAAAGGAAATCCCAGGACGCTTGAGGGTCCCGTTCACGGGCAGTAGGCAGATTAGTCCTCCTAGTGCCTGCGGCAGGCAGGTTAACCCTGGGCTTGGGAGGAACACAGGCCTCGATGACACTGAGCTGTATGCCTAGGCAGTGTCACTCCCCACACTTTCAACCTGAGCCCCACAGCAAGCCTATAAGATGGACATTCTCCCGGCCGGGCGCGGTGGCTCGAGCCTGTAATCCCAGCACTTTGGGAGGCCGAGACGGGCGGATCACGAGGTCAGGAGATCGAGACCATCCTGGCTAACACGGTGAAACCCCGTCTCTACTAAAAAATACAAAAAACTAGCCGGGCGAGGTGGCGGGCGCCTGTAGTCCCAGCTACTCGGGAGGCTGAGGCAGGAGAATGGCGTGAACCCGGGAGGCGGAGCTTGCAATGAGCTGAGATCCGGCCACTGCACTCCAGTCTGGGCGACAGAGCGAGACTCTGTCTCAAAAAAAAAAAAAAAAAAAAGATGGACATTCTCACTGTGATTTGTCAGGCTGAGTTCAGGGAGTGAAATGGCCTCCTCCAGTTCCGCAGCAGCTTCAAATACCCGGCAGAGCGGCACCAGGCTCCCTCAGAAAGGACCAGGCACTTGTAACATGTATGTCCTTTTATCTGGGACACTGCTGTCCCATACCTGCAGTATGAAAAGAATATTTCTCAAGAGGAAGAGGAAGCCAGGCGTGGTGGCTCATGCCTGTAATCCCAGCACTTTGGGAGGCTGAGCCAGGAGGATCGCTTGAGCCCAGGAGTTTGAGACCAGCCTGGTAACATGGCAAAACCCCGTCTCTACAAAAATCAGCCAGAAAGGCATAGACAGACCCAAATCCCAGTCTTTAGCCTGTCTCAACCACCTGAGAATGGTTTCTACCCAGGATTCCTTCGCTCAATTACACCCCACTCTTTGCCTCCTGCCACAGAGAGAGAGAGAGAGTGCGCTACCCTACCACAGCCAGCTTCCTCCCAGGGCCAGGAAAGCTTCACCTTGTCCCCCTCTCACACAGTTCCTAAAATTCTTCCATTCATCCATTTGACCTCTTAAGTATTTACTCTGTTTTCAAATACATATATAACTCCAGCTTATAATACCAAGCCAAGGGTACTCATTCACACCATAGCATGAATTTGACTGTCAGCTATTTAAGGAAGGAGGCAGGGAAAGTGGAATGGGGGGTACTCTGAAGAGGCCAGGCCTGGGTATTGGAGGTTGGAGGACCATCCAAAAAAAAGCCTGAGGGGAGAAGGAAGTGTAAGCAGACACGACACATAGCTAAAACAGGGAAGAAAGCTACAGGAGTCTCCTACTAGGAAAAAAGGGGGAGGCCAGGTGTGGTAGCTCATGCCTGTAATCTTAGCACTTTGGGAGCCCAAGGAAGGTGGATCACTTGAGGTCATGAGTTCAAGACCAGCCTGGCCAACATAGTGAAACCCTGTCTCTACTAAAAATACAAAAATTATCCAGCCGTAGTGGCACACACATGTAATCCCAGCTACTTGGGAGGCTGGGGCAGGAGAATCGCTTGAACCCAGGAGGTCGAGGTTGTAGTGAGCTGAGATCACGCCATTGCATTCCAGCCCGGGCAACAGAGTGAGACTCTGTCATTAAAAAAAAAAAAAAAAGGGGTGAGGGAAGAGGTCAGGCGCTGTGGCTCACGCCTATAATCCCAGCACTTTGGGAGGCTGAGGTGGGCAGATTACCTGAGGACAGGAGTTCGAGACCAGCCTGGCCAACAAGGTGGAGCCTCATCTCTACTAAAAATACAAAAATTAGCCGGGCGTGGTAGCGGGAACCTGTAATCCCAGCTACTCAAGAGACTGAGGCAAGAGAATCACTTGAGCCCAGGAGGTGGAGGCTTCAATGAGCCAAGACCGCACCATTGCACTGCAACCTGGGTGACAAGAACGAAACTCCATCTCATCTCAAAAAAAAAAAAAAAAGGGGGAGAGTGGGAGAAGAAAGGTGAATCTGGGCAAATTTGGGGCTTCACATTGACCCAGCTGGCCCCTTTCTAGTGACCTTGAGTCTCTGTATTGATAGGTAACTGCCTTTTGGCAGGGAGAGGGGAGGGTCATTAGTTTTAATGATTTTGTCTGCAGCCACTTTCCGGGCTCTGATTCTGAGCTGGGGCCTGTCTGCAGTGCTCTATGCTAGAGGCCGGGAGACCAGAGTAACTTAGATATAAACCTTGGTCCAACTAGTGGGGAGGTGGGGGAGACAACCCCCAAATCCCAAGAATCTGGGGAGACTGTGACTAGGGTTATTAAGAGAGGACAGAGGGCCAGGGGATGTCTAATACATGAAATGGAATTACCAGCTGCTTGGGCGAGCAATGCCTTGGAGGGCTGGTGGGGCTACACCTGTGCAGGTGGTGGGACTTTCTGGGTGTCGGCAACATCCCAGGCAAAGACCCCAGAAGTGGGATGTGTAGTATGGGTTTGGAGAACAGGGAGCTAGAACTCAACATGCATGAAGGGAAGTGGGCAGGCTGGAGACAGAGATGGAACCCAGATCCAGAAGGCTGCATGCCAGGCTTGGGAGCCCTGACTTAGCTTAGGGCAGTGGGGAGTCATGGAAGGGTTTGAGCAGGGGAATCGCTGATGGGAACAGGACACTCTGGCTGCAGGGAGGCAGAGGATGGGTTAGAGGGGTCAGGGGGATATGGGAGTGACAGCACGGAGGTGACAAAGGGTGACAGCCACAGGGATGGAGATCAGGGAATGCAGAGAGTTGGCACAGGCTTCTGGCCGGAGCAGCTGTAATGGCAGGGAGGTAGGGCTCCTGAGCCTTCCTGGAGGAGCCGAGGCCATGGTCATCAGAATAGGCTCTTCATTGGCTCAGCTTATTGAGAATCATCTTCACCCAGGGCACTCTGGGATCGGCACAGATCTCCTTATCCCTGGAGGTTAGCAACCTGGAAGGGGAGACCCCAGAGACAATGCAGCAACATTAGCATGCAGCAAGGAGGCCACACCCTCAGGAACTTAGCATTTATGAGCCACCTACTTTATGCAGGGCTCAGCATTTATGAGTCACCTACTGCACGTGACATTACCTGCTAAATAGAGTGGTTCAAAATTTACGAGTCACCTATGATGTGAAAAGAATATTTCTCAAGAGGAAGAGGA